ATTTGTTGACTAACATTCAATCAAAAATCATTTTTTTCCCCGAAATTCAAATTGTCTTAGTGAACAGTAGAATTAGGGTCTGGTTTTTATGAGTGTTGAATGTCCCCTGTGTATGTTCAGCCTTTTTAATTATCTATTCTTTCCTATTTTTATGGAAAGCTTTGAATACCAAAATTTGCATAGTGCTAAGGAGAGTAATGTGCATTTATCTTAACTATTAAGAAAAATCTAACATTTTTTGGGGGTATTTTTATTCGTTGTTTGATCATCTATAACATTTAAAGACTTTTCCAGTAAAAATAACAATACCAACTTATAAGTTAAACAATATACAATAACTGAAGGTAATCGGTTAAAAGTTGTTGTTAATTTTTTTATCATATGTACCAACTTTTAAATAAAACTTTTATGGACTTGTATGCATATATCAACGATCAATGTCAAGTTGTCACCAGCTATTATAGAAACAACAATCAGGATGTAAAATCAAATATTATACAAAGAACATATGCCTTGAAAACATCATATTTTATCGTGAAACATTAAAGCTTTACAGTGTTATTGAATTTAAATAAAGAATTCGATTCGCCCTTACATATCAAAGCATTTATCCGTTTCAATACTTGCAAAAATTAATAAAATTATAGTGAACACATGGAGATCATTAATGATGAATTCCGTCTATAAATGCCATTGTTTTGACACTTAAAAATTTGGCGGAAGCAAATGGTGTATGCTGAAACTCGCCAAAGCAGTGTAAATAGGTACAAAAATCTATGAAATGTTCAACAAAAGCAAAAAGTAAGCATTTCACAAGTTACAATAATCATATCCAATATGTTTGATGAACTTTCAAAGCCAACTGAGTACAAAAGTCAAATACATTACGCTTGATTCCAATCGTTATCTTTCCGTCAAAGTGTTTGGTTTTAGGTGACGTTATTTGACGTCATTTGTGCGTTTGTTGGGCATACAATCCACGTCAGCATGTTGAGCTAAGGGATGAATATTCTAATGGGGATAACTTCCTTATGACTGCTTCGATAACTGTTTTTAAATGATCAAATTAACATATTTCTTAAGGCAGGGTTGGATTATGTACATAAGAATAAAGATGGGTGATTGAAAAATGTCAAGCAGTCACAATTACTTTATCAGTTCAAAGATGCAGGGATCCAGTTAGCCCACAAGATGACGTGAGAAATCAGCGTATAGTAAAAGAGTATTTCTGGTAATGGAAATGATATGGATCAAACATTGGAATTGATTTATCCCAATTTTTTGGCTTATGTGTTCGTTTATGGCTTATTTCATTCTTTCAAGACTGTTGTCATTACTGTTTTTGAAAAAGAGAAAACGTAGTAGCCTGAAATCAAGCATGGCTTAAAGGCGCTTTGTCCTAATGTAATGAACAAAGTATAATGAAAAGAAGACTGTTTACCTATTTCTGGTTGATTTAGTTAGTTATGGACATTGCGTCCTTCAGTGAGGAGTAATGAACAATAAAAATAGATTATTAGTGTGATGGTGTTTGCTCAGGTCTAATAAAAATTCGTACTTTATTTGTTTAGAAGGGAACATCAAGACATTTAAGTAAAACCTCTGCTCAATGTGTGACTTTAAATGTTTTCACTAAAAATAGATGAATTCCTTCAGGTTAAAGTATGACAAAACATATAAAATCCTCTTAGTAGGACTATTTAACTATGAGCAATAATTACTGAAAATACCGTATAACGATAATAATTAAAACGACCGCAATGGTTGATAGGTGTATAAAATGGTCACCTGGACTTCTCAGGTTTGGAAACAAAATCCAATTAACATGGCGTCCGTTATGCTGTACAGAAATACACAACCACGTCTGGCCAGATCCGATGCCTTATGTACATGTATACATGTAGGTACATGTAGAAAGTCACGTTTTCAACACGCTAAAAAAACTTTGCGACAGCCCTTCGAGGTGTTCATACATAACTTGTCTCAATAAAAGTATTCGGTCCCTCTCAACATATTCTCTTTTTGCATTGGCAGTAAATCAATCAATTTTATTGAAAAGAATTTAAACAAATAACATTGTAAAAATAACAGCGCTAACATAGTTATTCCAATCCTTTCACATACCGTTGTTGTTATTGTCACCATACATAATTATTTTTACTTTTGCCTTGCGTAAAAATTCTTGATCCAGAATCCAAAAACGTTTCCGCAATACTTCTTTTAAAAATTAAATGATTTTACATATGGTTATTTTGTGTGGAGAATGCTATTGGATTCGGAATGAAAACTCTACCATGATTGTCGTACTATCGATAATTACAGGTATGCTTTTATCAGAATGATATTATAACTGAAATTATAACTGAACTATTTGACCTTGTATATCATGGGAAATTATTGTACATTTTGTAAAGCTATTTTTCTTGTTCAGGGTTAGAAATTGATACAAAACCGAAAATGACGAACACCATAAGGTCAACGCAAATTAAACAGTCAAATATTGAAACGCATTCACAGAGACCTATTATAGACCACAGACTGTCATATTTTTTACTTGGCACCCTTTTGGAATTCATGCGATTTCCTCAGTTACTGTTTGTTACCTTTTTCTGCCTCTTCCTAATCGATTCACAAGATTTTAAAATCGGTTAACTACTGTCGCCCTTATTGGAACATGCATGTTCTAGGGAAAAGTATGCTGCGGCCGAAAATAAGAATCCGACTCAAGACCTCAAACGTACATGAAGAGTTGTCTCATTGGCACTCATACCACATCTTCTTATATCTATGACAGTCGACTAAATGACATCATGCGAAGGAAACAAATGTCAGAAAAGTCCAGCAAGGAAATTGGTATTATTTCAAATCTAGTATAAAAGCTGGGTGACAAAAAAACTGAAACGGCGTCAGGTGAAAAAAGCACCGTTACAAAATTTTGTGTCAAGCTTTGAAAACTGCTGCATTTATTTGTATTCATATGGAAAATGCTACCGGAAAGCCTCAAGCATGCCAATAAATCATATTCTGAAAGAGTTGCTGCTTATAATCGAGTTGAAGCGGACATTATTCTGACAATCTCGAGGAGATGTTAGAAGAAACAAAACAACTGCTGTTGTCTGATAGTAAACAGATACAGATAACACTGTATACTTTAAAGTCGATTTAATTTTAATGAAGCATTATAATAAGAGTAAATCATGAAGGCAACTTTAATTATGATGTCGTCCAAAAACGTTATGATGTGCGATGGTCAGCAGTCTGGCCCTTTAAAATAAGTATTGGAAAACTATCAAAATATTGATTTGAAGACTTCATATTTGACAGGAATAGTTATAAATAATAGATATGAAGTGTCTTTGAATTTATAAGCGAATTGATTTGACAAGCTGTGCCCATGGATCTTTTGATTGACAGTCGTATAACTAATTATGTTCAAAACACGACTAAGTCACGTTTGATCTAAAAGTTAAGTTTGGTGGTGTGCGATTTTTTGAAACTTATTCTACGATGTAAGAAAGTTAACTCTCTCTTTTAACGGCGAAAGTATTGCAATACTGAGGGTTTGCGACTCAGGGACCACAATTTATGCTTTAAATCCTATTTGAATCATTTAGAAAATCATAAAAGAAGCACAATTTGCTAGATTCAATGAGAAATGCGATTTTATATGTGGAAACTGAGATTCACATGCAAACTTAAGAACATCAAATCTCTTATATTTCCAAACCCTTTGAAACATTTCCACACAAATTGATATTTTGCTTACATGGAAAGAATTAAACCAATGTTCCAAATTGTAAAATTGAACTCATCCCTTCGAAAATTTGACAGACGCATGCATCTGTATCACAAATGACGTGGATGTGTTCCACTTGTCGTAGTAACAATCCCGACCTCCTATCCTTGGTTATGACATCAGTAAATGAGACGTATCACCGATTTCTTAACCTGCAATGATTAAAACGACGGATGTCACTACTTGACAAGGAACTGCTTACACTTCCCAATTACCTGAGTTCACCCCCGGTATTTGGGTAAGATTCATGTTGATCGATCTTTTAATAAGTGTTTTGTGGTCTTGTTTGTCGTTTTGTCGTTTTCCTTTTTTAGTCATACACATGGTGGTTTCTGTTTTTTTTAACTTATAGTGTTTGATTCCCCATTTATTATCTTTTATTTATTTTTTTAATCTGGTTGATATGAATAAGAAAAAAGGGTAAATGTCAATGAGACATCTAAGTTTGCATAACTATGGATTTGTTCGGCTAAAGCCCCTGTGTACATTTTAGTTGATAGACGGTAACTATGGATTTGTTCGGCTAAAGCCCCTGTGTACATTTTAGTTGATAGACGGTTGTACTATAGATAGATTTGTTTGGCTAAAGCCCCTGTATATTTTAGTAAATAGACGGTTGTACTGTAGGTAGATTTGTTTGGCTGAAGCCCCTGTGTACATTTTAGTTGATAGACGGGTGTACCGAAGGTAGATTTGTTCGGATAAAGCCCCTGTGTACATTTTAGTTAATAGACGGTTGTATTATAGGTAGATTTGTTCGGCTAAAGCCCCTGTGTACATTTTGATTAATAGACGGTGGTACTATAGGTAGGTTTGTTCGGCTAAACCACCTGTGTACATTTTAGTTGATAGACGGTTGTACTGTAGGTAGATTTCTTCGGCTTAAGCCACTGTGTACATTTTAGGTGATAGACGGTTGTACTATAGGTAGATTTGTTTGGCTAAAGCCCCTGTGTACATTTTAGTTAATAGACGGTTGTACTGTAGGTAGATTTGTTCGGCTAAAGCACCTGTGTACATTTTAGTTGATAGACGGTTGTACCGAAGGTAGATTTGTTCGGCTAAAGCCCCTGTGTACATTTTAGTTGATAGACGGTTGTACCGAAGGTAGATTTATTTGAGGCATACACAATCTGGGATAAAATAATAAAACATGATGCAAATTCTAAAGCTCCTATTTACAACTTTCTTTTTTGTCTTTCAGCTAAACTCGACGGAGTAAAAACTTACATGTCACTAAGACGGGTACCAATGAGACTACAGGATCGAGTCATCAAATGGTTCGATTACTTGTGGTATTGTAATAAATCGACTGATGAAGAAAGAACGCTCAGTTTACTTCCGGATAAGCTCAAAGCGGAAATAGCAATTCATGTTCATTTGGATACATTAAAAAGAGTAGAGATCTTCCAAAATACTGAATCAGGATTTTTATGTGAATTAGTGTTGCGTCTTAAACCAGTATTATTTTCTCCCGGGGATTATATATGCAGGAAAGGTAAGGTTTTTTTTTATTTTAAATATCATGTATTCAAAGTATTATATACCACAAATCAAGCAGTTGTAGATCTCTACTAAAATCTGCATTTCATTGACAAAGAGCGTTGTGTAAAGGAACGTCTGTTTAAAAAAAAGGCGGTTATCTCTGGCCGAACATCGGTGGAAAATCAAAACTGCATATCATTCAGGTGGTTTTCCGACCCAGTTTTGAGTATAAAAAGAACCAGTATAAATACAAAACAAAATGTAACATGGCACTAAATGGCTTTCAGACAACTATCACCATGGAATTACATATCAAAAGAACGGTATGTACCGAAAGTTAGAGGAAAAGTTAATGTGTTGTACGTTTCTTTTAAATTGTTCAACCTATTATGTCCGATATTATGTTCCTATTTTGAATAAAGTATGCACAGAATAACTGTCCAACACTAAAGAAGATAAATGATCATCAGATTGCTTCAAATTTACAAATGCATTATATTGTAGACATCTAACAAGTTGAAAAATGTGAACACCATGGAAAGTGACCATGGAATATCACCATAAAGGAAAGGAAAATAAACGATATGAAAGGAGAAGTCGTTCCATTGTCGTAATTTTTGGTAGACAATCTATTGAATTCTAAATATCAAGGTCCGAAAAGGACTAAAATCCCAATAAACGTTCGATGTTTTATGAGCCAGTTCACATGGATCTATTGAATATATTTAGAAAAAAAAATATACGGGTAATTAACTGTTCATTACTATGCTTATGACGTATGCTTATGAAAAAAAATCAGAAGTAAAGAGGTAAAAGGCATGCTTTAGATATCAAAATATTAGGATTAAGATTGGTTCGCTCTAGTTATAAATTTAATTTAGCGTATTGATTCAAAAATAATTTGATGTAGCTAGCAGGTCTTTTATACACTCTAATCTTTTATAATTCACAACTTCTCTGAGCTCGTGGAGATTTATAGCTTGACGTATGGTATAGTCTCTTATAATTCGAAACTTCTCTAAGTATACGGGGGAAACTTACGACTGAACATACGGTGTCGTCTATTATTACATGTTACTGTTCACATGTTGACATGTAGGCGTGTTTTTTCTGTTGTTAGGCGGTTTTCTCATATACGTACACACCATAACTCCTTAAAATCATAATATATAAGTGTATAAATGATGATAAGAAACACAAACAAACACCACAGAGTACACCAGACCACACACCAACACCCCGAGTCGATCCTTATTTTAGGAAAATTTGGATTCTTTTGAGAGAATAACTATATGTGAGCTATATTTATTTTTCCACCTTTAATATGTGGATAGTTTCATGGTTTCAAACGAAATGTGCGGTTATCCACAACCATTTTGATTAAATGGTGTTGCAATTTTAATATCTACATTGAATTATTAATGAATCATTGGGTTAAATCGGTTGTTTCATTGATTTACTTATTCTGATGAAAATACATAAAAATAAATGCAAATATTTATCGTGCATTCTAAAGTCAAACATAAACATTTAATGAATGGCTATTATTTATTTTGAATTTATTGAACCATAAAATTAATTTTTGACTCTTCACATTTTACATAATCCGCTTCCATTCATTATAAATAAATTTCTATCCAAAATAAGGCTCAAAGACTTTTTTATATTATTTATATTAACAATAACAACGTATGTACACACATGTTGGCGTATGAATACACAACGTCAGAGTGGGCGTGTCGCCATAAAAATTGACAACATTGAAAATAAAGGTAATTCTTTTAACCAATCAGAAGACAGTAAATACACCAAATTTATTTATATTGGTATAAATAACAGGAGAATCGGACCTACGTAAATGAGACAGATACCCAAAAATACGCCCAAAACAAATGGCAAAGAATTTTAAAGCAGAACAACAAAAGAACTATAAACTAGCGATTAGTTATTTGTTCCAAATGATGCCAGAAGCATATTTAATTAGTGTATATTTTTACTTTTATTACCATTTATCACAACAAATATACACACAATTTTATCGAAAAACTAATTTATTACATAAGAAAAGTTGAATTTGATAAAATTATTCGGCAGCTTCGCAAAGAAGATAGACAATATAAATGTAAACGGAGGTAACTGGCCCTCAACGGACAAAGGATTGAAGCTGACTCAAAACGTCCAAGGAACTGTTAAAAACAATTCAAAAACAGTTTCTACAGCTATTAAAATAAGCTTTGTTTCAATTTGAGTTCCTTAACTGTCTTTAGAGCATTCGTCAAAACATAAATATTTTGCAATTGGACATGTTTAATGGATGCAAGAATGCCTAAAGTTTCTTGTGTAATTTGGTTACCCAATAGACAGCGGGAATATTTTTTATGTAGCTGCGATTCAACATTCGTTCGCTGTTATCTACGATGTTTTGGGAAAAGGAAGTATGTATGAACGATTTGTACTGTTATCTACGATGTCTTGGATAGAGGAAGTATGAATGTTATCTACGATGTTTTGGGTAGAGGAAGTACGTATGTTATCTACGATGTTTTGGATAGAGGAAGTATGTATGTTATCTACGATGTCTTGGATAGAGGAAGTATGTATGTTATCTATACGATGTCTTGGATAGAGGATGTATGTATGTTATCTACGATGTCTTGGATAGAGGAAGTATGTATGTTATCTACTATGTCTTGGATAGAGGAAGTATGTATGTTATCTACGATGTTTTGGATAGAGGAAGTATGTATGTTATCTACGATGTCTTGGATAGAGGAAGTATGTATGTTATCTACGATGTCTTGGATAGAGGAAGTATGTATGTTATCTACGATGTTTTGGATAGAGGAAGTATGTATGTTATCTACGATGTTTTGGGTAGAGGAAGTATGTATGTTATCTACGATGTTTTGGGTAGAGGAAGTATGTATGTTATCTACGATGTCTTGGATAGAGGAAGTATGTATGTTATCTACGATGTCTTGGGTAGAGGAAGTATGTATGTTATCTACGATGTTTTGGGTAGAGGAAGTATGTATGTTATCTACGATGTTTTGGGTAGAGGAAGTATGTATGTTATCTACGATGTATTGGTAGAGAAAGTATGTATGAAGGATTTGTGATCTCAGTTCCAATTTCATCAAGTGAAGTTGACCTTAGACGGGTTCGACTGTTTTATTGAGGCTTTTTTTGTTTTGATGCTCTTTAAACGTTTCATGTATTTGACTCTCCAAACTTTTTGACTTTAACGCACAAGATTAAAATTGATTCCGGACACGTGTCGTGCGCACTGAAATCGATAGCATACGTCTGATTACCACTGGATATATACCTCTGCCAGTGGACTTATGGTCCCCTAAAGTACCAGTCGTCCACACTGAAATCGGCAGCATACGTCTGATTACCACTGGATATATACCTCTGCCGGTGGACTTATGGTCCCCTAAAGTACCAGTCGTCCACACAGAAATCGGCAGCATACGTCTGATTACCACTGGACATATACCTCTGCCGGTGGACTTATTGTCCCCTAAAGTACCAGTCGTCCACACTGAAATCGGCAGCATACGTCTGATTACCACTGGATATATACCTCTGCCGGGGGACTTATGGTCCTCTAAAATACCAGTCGTCCACACTGAAATCGGCAGCATACGTCTGATTACCACTGGATATATACCTCTGCCGGTGGACTTATGGTCCCCTAAAGTACCAGTCGTCCACACTGAAATCGGCAGCATACGTCTGATTACCACTGGATATATACCTCTACCGGGGGACTTATGGTCCTCTAAAGTACTAGTCGTCCACACTGAAATCGGCAGCATACGTCTGATTACCACTGGATATATACCTCTACCGGGGGGACTTATGGTCCTCTAAAGTACTAGTCGTCCACACTGAAATCGGCAGCATACGTCTGATTACCACTGGATATATACCTCTGCCGGGGGACTTATGGTCCCCTAAAGTACCAGTCGTCCACACTGAAATCGGCAGCATACGTCTGATTACCACTGGATATATACCTCTGCCGGTGGACTTATGATCCTATAAAGTACCAGTCGTCCACACTGAAATCGGCAGCATACGTCTGATTACCACTGGATATATACCTCTGCCGGGGGACTTATGGTCCTCTAAAGTACCAGTCGTCCACACTGAAATCGGCAGCATACGTCTGATTACCACTGGATATATACCTCTGCCGGTGGACTTATGGTCCCCTAAAGTACCAGTCGTCCACACTGAAATCGGCAGCATACGTCTGATTACCACTGGATATATACCTCTACCGGGGGACTTATGGTCCTCTAAAGTACCAGTCGTCCACACTGAAATCGGCAGCATACGTCTGATTACCACTGGATATATACCTCTGCCGGTGGACTTATGATCCTATAAAGTACCAGTCGTCCACACTGAAATCGGCAGCATACGTCTGATTACCACTGGATATATACCTCTGCCGGTGGACTTATGATCCTATAAAGTACCAGTCGTCCACACTGAAATCGGCAGCATACGTCTGATTACCACTGGATATATACCTCTGCCGGGGGACTTATGGTCCTCTAAAGTACCAGTCGTCCACACTGAAATCGGCAGCATACGTCTGATTACCACTGGATATATACCTCTGCCGGTGGACTTATGGTCCCCTAAAGTACCAGTCGTCCACACTGAAATCGGCAGCATACGTCTGATTACCACTGGATATATACCTCTACCGGGGGACTTATGGTCCTCTAAAGTACCAGTCGTCCACACTGAAATCGGCAGCATACGTCTGATTACCACTGGATATATACCTCTGCCGGGGGACTTATGGTCCCCTAAAGTACCAGTCGTCCACACTGAAATCGGCAGCATACGTCTGATTACCACTGGATATATACCTCTACCGGGGGACTTATGGTCCTCTAAAGTACTAGTCGTCCACACTGAAATCGGCAGCATACGTCTGATTACCACTGGATATATACCTCTGCCGGGGGACTTATGGTCCCCTAAAGT